AAGACTGGCACTTCTGCCTTTAGATAGGAGCTTCGTGCTCAACTTAGTTATCAATCTTATCATATTAGTTTGACATCTTTGATACAAGTAACGAGTTCACTTCCAAGTGAACAACCCGATAGTCTTCTTCTTATCATAGCATACCAACCAGCGAACACCCAGCCAAGTTTAGTTAGCCCGTTTGAGTATTCGTTACACTAGGCTAGACGTAATCTCTCTACTTAGGAAATCTTAAATAAGTAGATATAAGAGTTATATACCTTACGTATAAGTTATTTATAAAAAGACTAAGATATATAAAAGTAGAAGTAAGCTAAGAACCTTTAAGTATTATAAAGTTAATATAATTAATAAGAGGCTTTGTTTAAAAAGAGAATACTAATTAGCTATTATACTATCCAAACTCTTTAAAAAAGTATTTACTAGAATATTTAATAGACTAGGAATCTATTCTAAGATTATTTTAATATCTTATTATACTATAAAATAAAGGATTAAGTAAAGAGACTTATTTTAATATAAATACTTAAGGTATTATTTTACCAGGCTAAATTAAGTAGTAATACTATTTATATAAACTACTACCTTCTTTTCTAACTATTAAATACCCTAGGTTTTAAGAGAAGCTTATACTAGCTTAATCTTAAAAATATTAATATTAAATTCTTTTTTAATTAGTAGAAGTAGTAGTTATATAGTATATTCTTTTATTAGGTTATATATATAGTAGCACTAGTTAATTCTTAGTATATTCGCTTATATCTAAAAGGCTCTAAGACCCTATATTAAAGCGTTATAAAATAAGTAGATAAATTAGTAGTAAGAATTAAAAAAAGTTTAACTATTAAATTATAGTAGTATTTTATTCTACTGTATAAAATCTACCTTAACCTTCGAGGAGAGCTACTATTAACTTTTAATATATTCTAGCTATATATAGATAATGGTCTAAAAGTTCCTATAAAATACCTAGTCTAATTATACTACCTTAGTATAAAATAATAAGAGACCTATAATTAATTTAAGCTCTTTTCGAGTAATACTATTTTAAGATATAAATATAATAGTTTATTCTTTAATTTAAGTAAGTTTATTAGGTAGAATTAAAGCTATAAAGGATTTATATTTACTAAATATCTGAAAACTTTTATAACTATACTCTAAATATTTTTAAGGTTATTAATTAGTATTTCTAAAACTATAGGTAAATCTTTAAATTTCTTATTTTCTTCTTTTATAAATTTTAATATAATATCTTTTTATATAAATATAGTAAACTTATTATCTGAATAGTAACTAAAGAAACTCTACTTTAAGTATAACTTAATAATCTACTTCAGAGCCTTTATAAATAAGTTAAATATAAAAGAAGCTATTACTAAACTAAAAGAAAGAACTCTATAAATATATTTTATACCTTTCTACTAAAATCCTAGTATTTATTATATATATAAAGCTATAGGGACTATTCGGAAAGTATTCGATATATTATATTTAAAGATCATATAGCCTTAGCTTACCTTCTATACTAAACCTAAAACCTCTTTAAACTTAATATATTATAAATATATATATTTATTTAGTATATTCGAATTAACTAAGTTCCTTTTAGAAAAGGATAAGTAATAGATTTAATAGTAGTTATTATTTAGTTTTAGTTTTAGTATAGATTCTAGTAGTAATACTATAAAAGGTTTATCTTTTATAGGATCTACTATCTGTACTAGCCTACTTTTTAAATCCTTCTTAATTTTAAAAGATAATAACTTAGAGAATTTATAAGCTAAAGATAGATTTAAAGATATTTAATAGATCTCTAGGCCTTTATATCCAATAAAAGTACTATATTCTAGTATTTAATTAATTATATTTAAAAAAAACTAAGTTAAGATATTAGTATAAAAGCTTGTTCTATACTAAGCGATTTAGGAAAGATAGTAAGTTATATAAAAAAGGCATAATATATTAATAATTTAAAAAGGTATTAGTATATTTATAAATAAAGGTATGAAAGAATAAGTATAAGATAATAAAAATTAGTATAATAATATAGAATTATTTATAATAAGCTATACTATTAACTAAACTTATACTCCTATACTAATACTTTAACTCTTTAACTCTTTTTCTCTTTCTTATACTTCTTTATATTATTATTACTACTACTACTCTTATTTATAGTACTTTTACAACTTAGATAAATATAAGAATATAATAGGTTATTATAACTATTAATATAAGTTTCCTTAAAATACTCTTCTATTAATATATTCTTATCTTTAGAAGCGTTACCCCTAGTGTAACGAATACTCAAACTGGCTAACTAAACTTGGCTGGGTGTTCGCTGGTTGGTATGCTATGATAAGAAGAAGACTATCGGGTTGTTCACTTGGAAGTGAACTCGTTACTTGTATCAAAGATGTCAAACTAATATGATAAGATTGATAACTAAGTTGAGCACGAAGCTCCTATCTAAAGGCAGACGTGCCAGTCTTATATAGAACCTTCGTTCTCTTGTGCTAGCTTGCTAGACTCGTCGCTCGGTCGCTGCTAGACTGGTAGACCAGTCGCCCCGTCTAGCGACATATATCACGTGATAACAATACAGAGAAATCCCTGGATCGCTTAGCTACTCCAAGCGATCCCTATTTGCTATAAGAAACCTGGATGTGCCTGTCGAGGGTTGCGCCTCTTATTATGACAAGTATCACGTGAGCACGTGATTCGTGACACTTATAGAGGTTATCTACTAAGTCTAATTTCTTAGAGAACGCTATAGTATTTAGTTCTTAATTAAGAGAATACTAGATATTTAATAGTATAATAGGTTTAGAAAGAAGGGATAAAGTTTTATTTATTTATTATTCGCTATTTATATTAAAAGGTTTGTAAGATAAATTTTTTCATTATTTAATAGTTAGTTTAGTTACTCTTTTAGCTTAGAATTATATATAATTAGCTTCGAGTTCTTTAGTCTTTCTAGTATCTTCTTAGGCCTTAAACGCCTTACGATTATACTTATAAGTCTTTACTTTTTATACTACTACTTATACTTATATTCTTTTTGTTAAAGTATTATCTTAGGTATCTTATTCTCTAATAGCTTATTATTCCGCCTTTTTATCTATTTTATACTCCCTCTATATTATTTTTAAATATTAAGTATCCTTTAATTTCCAACTATCTTTAATATCTTTTTATACGCTATTAAACCATCTTAGAGCCTCTTACTATAACCTTTTCTCTTCCTCCTCTAATAGCGATAGTAATAGTAATAGTAATAGTAATAGATCTCTTAGTACTAGTATTATATTAAGTTAAATTCGAAAAGGAGCGTGTAATAAATTATAAGACGATTCTAACTAAGGAATAGAAGCAAAAAAAACTGGTTCTAACTTTTAATCCTACTTATAAAACTACCTTTAAAGATATAGTCTTTTAAGGCTTTACTAAAAGCTCTACTATAGTTTTATAACCCCTTTTTAGTAGTATTCTAATAAGAGGTTTAGCGCTATTTCGAGTATTACGTAGTATATTTAATATTAAATACTTTAAGAATAAGATAAATTACTTTATATATATATTTAATAGATATTTCAAAAGCTATTATTTTTTAGTATAGTTACTACCTAATACACACGGATTCTACAAAAGTCGGCAAATTCACGGATTGAAGCTTATATCGAATTCGACTGTATCTGCAGAACATATGATCGAAATTACGCAGCTGAGTATCTGTCATTGGTTTCCACAGCTAACCGAGCATTTTCATGTGACCATACCGTAAAAATGCACAGCGTGGTCGAGATAGATCTGTGATATCCACAACTATGATTCCTAATTCTCTTTCTAGTGTATCGAAGACCACGTTCAAAGGAAGACTTGTAACTTTGCTGCGAGGGTGACTGGCTGCCACCGCAATATAAAGACATGTATGGATGTAAGGAAACTCAGGTTTGGCTTTGATGTCTCGTTTCGTGTCCCAGAAGGTGGTAGGTTGATTGCTTGCCCATGTGAGTTCTGCGAGGAGCGGTGGATGATTGCGGGCGTTCTGAAAGGTCTTCATGAGGTACAAACGTATGTCTATTAGGTCTTCCACACTGAAGTGCTCTGTAGTATGGATGGCCGCAAGACCTCGGTAACGCTGATTTACTTTTGCGATGATGAACGTTTGGTGTGTGTCAGACTCGTATTCCATGATGATGGTTGAGTAAAGAATTGCTAGAGATTTGCAAGAGATTTGTAGGAGAATAGACTGTGTGGTAAGTATGACAGGTTTTAGCTATCAGTACCTTATCTTTAAAATCCGTAAGCAGATAGCTCAAAGACAGTTCACTTATGATAGGATGTATGAAAGTCACCTTCCCATACAAAAAGGTTGGGGTAAGACATCTACGATTGCCTGCTAGATGTTAGACCAGGAACTCTAAGCGAGCGGGCGTTCATGTGACAAAGAAGTCTTGGCATACAGTCACCATTTTTTCTGGCTACTCGAGTACTCGTCCACTTGGAACCTCCTCTTGATACCCACATCTCATCATGCTTCCTCCTCCAGGACTCGCCATAATCCCTTCGTTCCTCTCTACGCAGCAGTATGATCAACTCGAAGAACATGTCCGAAAGGCCTTCGATCCTTCTCTCTTGCAGAGGGGCACGAAAGGTGGACGTACTCCCCTTGACTACGGCATTCGATTTGATGTCAGAACGTGTGGGGTCGCTGAGAATGAAGAGCCAATACCCACCTGGATGCATGATCTTCTACAGCAAATCCATACCTTGACATCAGATGAGAAGATCTTAGTTGGGAATCAGCCAGGAATATCAACCACCAATGCCTACTGTGGTTCGTCAGTAATGAATACCGAGGATTTGCCGCCTCTTACGGTCCTTCGTCACGCCACAGATAGGAACCAAAAACTTCTACCTAGCAATTTCAAGCCAAATCAAGTCACGATACAGCATTATCCTCCAGGTGTAGGAATACCACCACATATTGATACACACTCGTGTCTTGGAACGCACATCCTTTCATTTTCTCTCTCATCAACCGTCAACATGCAATTCCAGCGAGCAAACGACGATACAAAACGCAAAATGTTCCAACCCAGACGGTGTCTAGCGGATAATCCACCATCCACAAATAAGAAAAAATCGGATGAGCATCCACGGAAAGCCAAGCAGATTCTGGAGATACTTCTTGAGTCTAACAGCTTATGTATTATGGCGGGGGAAGCCCGCTATGCATGGACGCATGGAATCAGACGAAGAAGCACAGATATTACACCAGAAGGAAATGTAGTACCAAGGCAGGATCGCTATAGCGTCACGTTGAGGCAGGTAGATTTTGGTGGTCAGTGTGATTGTGAATACCATGACTGGTGTGACACAAGAAACCACGCCTACGATTCTGTAAGATTGGGTAACCTTACATGAATAGATCCAGGTCGCAATCTCCTCTTCCCTTTGCTTTACTGGAGTGACATGATTGATGAAGAGCTATATTGACAAGTCTGATTTTGTCAAGGTTTGTGGCTTTCCAAGCTGATCCAGACTCCAGAGCCTCAGCCATCTAGTACTCCGTGTGGACGGGAAACCGATGGTTAGTTCAAATCTACCATTTATATCAACCAGCGTATTAAAGAAACACTCAACTATCTAGTAAAATAACTTTAAGTAATTTAATTGACTAGGTAATTAGTCGTGAGTGGTGGATCATACTACTCAAATAGTTTCTATCCCTTCCAGAATCAGGAGGTGAGATAAGTTTGTGCACGTAGGAGTAGAGTAAAAGCGACTATTCTCACAACATAAATATCTTCTCCGCACAATGAAATCGTTTGGCCAATCAGACTTTCTTTCCCAGCACTTAAGCCTCTATTTTACCCGTTGTATATCCACTTCAAGTGTATGTTCTGTACCTTAACTCTTGCCTCTGGGAGCGATAAAAACGTGACTGAAGCATGAACTCAATAGTGGCTCGCAGAAGCGTTTGGAGTAGGAATCTATAATTGTTGCCTGACTAAAAGACTAGCGAGAGCTACCAGCAACCTACCATTCTAAGAGGAGAGTGTATAATGTATAGAAAGAATTAGTAAAGAGTTAACATATAGGTAAACCCTATTAATTTACCATGTGCTTATGTCTCTTAATCTGAGGGCGCGCTACGGAAACGAAGAACGGTTTGTCGCCGGGCTACTAATTATCACTTAACTTAATGAATTGGGTCTCAATAACCCTTGGGTAAAGTAGAGTAGATACCACTACTCTGCTTAACTCAACTCATTTGATACGCTGGTATAAAGTCTGTTTACATAGTATTCATTTTTTTCTCCTGCAAAATTAGTTCCCCTACTGCATCATTCATCCCATCTTTACCCATTCTGATGAAATCTGGTGTAGTTCGGATAGCTTCAACGCATCACCAGCTCTCCATGCCATTCTACGTCCTCCATTTCTATATCTTCATCTCCATCCTTCAACTCGACGAACCCTTCATCCTCTCCCTCGGAGCCCTCCTCGTCCTCAACTAACTCCTTGATCTCGAAGACTCCACCAACCTCTTGTAAATCCTCATCCACTGCCTCTTCCTCTTCCCATGCCTCGAAAATCTTTCCATCCTCCCCTGCATCTTCGGTAGCATTGTCGGGAACATCGGCCGTAAAGGCCCCCTCGAGTTCGCCGGGTGTCAGATCTTCATATATTTCTGCCGGTCAAGCCCATACCTCGCCAAAAACTAAGAGCGTATAGAAATTAGTAGGAAGGCAGCTTTCTGCATGAGTAGTATGATACCTGGTTGTTACTCTGTACACACCATATAAAAAGTTATTATACCAAACTTTTAGTACAAGCAAAATAATTACCGTAGTATACCTAGTCCAATAAAAACCAAGAGTCAACAATTATTACAAGCTCTTTATATAACTATTTTAGTTGTGCAAGGCCTTTGGCTAATTTTATTTGAAGAGAGGTGTATACAAAGTACCGACCATGTCTTTTATACATTACTACATATATTTTCCTGTTACCCATCTTAAACTAGTCGTCAGGTATTAATACAGCCTGGCTCGGTAGAACTTTCACACCCCAGGGTAGGATTCACTAAACAAAACAACAGCCTTTCACTCCCAATTAAGAAGGGATTATCTTCGGGGACAAAAGTGGAACAGCACGGGACAAGGTTAAGTAGTCTAGTAAGAAGATTCTCTCTCGCCTTCGGGCACCCGTAGAGGCCATTCAGGCGCATACTTGTATGTGACTCTGTCTTGTTGATACGGATCACTGCGCGAGCATTGATTCATCTACGTTCAGTCTCGGGACTTAAAAGCTCGATCGATCGAACGAACCCTCGAATACCCGAATCCTCGAACTACGAATCCTCCCTTCCTGCGAAACTCGAACGAAAACCAGTATGCTTCAAGATCAGGTATGTTGTCCCAACTCAAACGGTGGTATCCACTAATCCAAAAATATCGTTCTATGGTGTGGGTTTGATTCCCACTATGAATAAGACTTGTTCTTATGCAGAATATATTTTTTGCTACTTTTATGGAGTTATGTAAGGCTCTTCCTCTCTTGTTGTGTTCTTTTTCTGCTGCTTGAGATTCAAGATATCAGATTCATGCTGTGGTTAAGGTTTCGCTCGCTTAGGTAAGTGGGACCATTCCGGTTACATTCACTCCTTTCCATCTTGTGGCTTGGACCGTGACTTGTGATATCTCACAGACATCTATACGAGTAGTTTGGTGGTTGTAAGTGAGTAATCAAGTCGCTTTGTAAAGAGAAATTTACGCCCAATATGATGTCTGTCTACTTTACAACAGAAAACCCAACGTTCACGACCTGGATTTCCCACCATCAGAAGTAATCGTTTTCCAATTAAAATTCCCATTTTCGATATCCCCTCATTCATGTTCTTCGAGCTCATTCGAATCGACCGCACATACATACCGAGTATTTGAACAGACCCACTTTCCAACATCCACAAGTTAAATCACGGTAGCAGGATTCGTAACTGGGCAAACACCAAGTATACTATCCTGATGGATCACTGAAAACATCTTGCGCTTCATCGTTTTGTTTCTCGGCATACAAGGGTGTCTTAATAAGACGTCGAAGCTTCCGACTCCACGTTAAATTCAAAGCTCCCACCAAGATACATTCCATCAACAACTACAGTACCTAGCTACAGCACAAGCAATCCCAACCACAAAACACCCATAACAACCCACAATCCTCTATAAATCAACAGGCCAACAAAGTCGCAGTGCTAACAAATCTCAATTCACGGAACATAGAAAACACAAGACCTTAAGCACCTTAAAATAAGTCGGCGCCATCCTATTACTAGCCTACAGCTTGAGCCTAGGTTTAATATGTAGTATTGTACCTCCCCTTCCTTCGCTTCGGATTCTTCCGTCGCTATAGTCCTACCTCGGATGTCACTCTCTTTCTTATCTAAGGCACAATAGCCGAACTAGAACTTATTAACTCTCTTAGTATGATCTAACCTCCCGGTAATATAGTATTGCTCTTACATGGGGGCATATCATCGTCGAGTTCATTATCGTCATCGAGCTCTGCATCACCGCCGAGGTCATCACCAGAAGAATGCGGAAAATCAAGAGCAATTCGGAACGGAGTGATCGCGATTCTACGACTATCGGACATACATGTCTTGCGATTCGATGTCGATTTACTAAGAGTAACAACGCTATAGCTAGAAGGAAGCCTAGGTCAGCTTTTAAGAAAACATGTATGAAGAGTAGAAATTTTTCCTGTGCTTACCTCGCTACTAGTATTCTCCTTACAGTAGCCCGAGTTACCATCGATATAGATATCTTTGTACCTGAAGGGGATCTATAATTCGATTTAGTCATAGTTGCCGTCAGGGAACTTGCTGTAGCCGCTTTTATAGTCAAAGTCATTGTTGAAGTCGCGGGGTTGTTCAATATGTCAATCAGGCCTTTCTCTAAATAGTTTAAAGTTTATGTTACTGAAATTAAGTACTTATGTAATAGAATATTACTATTCGAAGAGCCCTCTAAAGACTCTAGCGTTAGCAGCGTCAAACCCGAGTTCTCGCTCCTAGAAGTAGAAGCAGCATTCTTCAAAGTAGTAGTCGAAGTGCCCTTCACCTCTTCAACTCTAATACCAATTCCTCGGCCGACAATTAACTCCTTCTCTAAAGACTTTGTTATCTACCTTACTACTATCCCCTCCCTACCTAAAAACCTAACCCTCTCTAAATAACTCCCCGCTGCTAAAACATTCTTTTTTAGCTACATCCTTGTTCCTCTCCCCCCTCCTATCTCCCTACCCAACTCCCCACCCACCCCCCAAATCAACACCCAACACACCTCTTAACCTCCCATACACCCCATCCATCACAAGCCCCCAATCAACCCCCAACATACCTCTCAACCTCCATACAACCTCGAAAACACACTTTCTCCCCTCGAATCCTCTTTCTCTCCTTGAATCCTCTTCGTCCATTAATAGTATCTCTTATATCTATTGCTTCCTGTACGAAAACGGAGGGGGTGCGGGGCCATAACGGTTTTTCTTTATTCTCTGTTCTCTGGTAGCATTACGTAGTGTGGTGTTAGGAGTATACTAACTGGACGGGATAGGATACGATGTAGCAATGTCATAGAGTATCACACCACACCACACTTAAAAAACCCCCTTAAAACCTATATATCCCCTCCTCAAATCACCAACCATCAACCTCCAAAAGAAAAGAAAAGAGCTCACAAAAAGACATCCCACCACCTCCCGAGTCCCGCCTCGCAACGAGGGAAAGAGTAATACACCATGATTTCGACATCCTCCCCTCACACAAGACGGAGAAGGCGCGAGAGACCTCTTTCATCGCACTACTGTACCGACGATGACACTTCCGAGTCCTCCCAAGAGATGGGATAAGGGATCGACGTAGTATTTTCTCTACGTACGTAATCCCACACAAAATCAGGTAGAACGACATGAGATGAAACTTTGGAATTTTGCTGAAATTGAAGGTGGGGGGGAGGGAGTGGGGAGACTGATAGGGTATGGAGGATACTCGAGTAGTGATATCTTAAAAGCCTAAAAAGGTACCACACACTGATCTGCATTTACATATGCATTCCCATTTTCATTTCCATTTCCATCTACCTACAATCCTCTACGAGTACCCTCCTCACCATCACCCTGACCCCCACCCGCGCCCATGCCCCAAAATCCAACAGAAAAAGCCCAAGCAAGAAAGAGAGCCGAAAAGAAAAGAAAAGGCTTAAACTAATATAAGGGGTATAAAGCTATCTACCCTCCCCTCCCCTCTCCCAAATCCCCAACTTATTACTAAATCCGCTCCACCCCGGTACCCCCAATCCAACAAAGGCCAAAAACAAATAACCCCTCCCACACATTATAACAACATAGAGAGAGAGAGAGAGAGAGAGAGAGAGAGAGATAAAGTTATATCAATCGCCTGCTTCGCTCCAAATGGCCAAGGTAAATCAAATGAAACCAAATCAACAAAGGAATCAAAACAAATGGAATAGACATCAAAAAAAAGAGAGAAAGGAAAGAAGAAGAAAAAGGTATCATAAACCCCCGCCCATCCATCCATCCGTCCATCCCCTACCTACCTTGCCAACCTTACCAAAATCCTCCTCCTCCCCCATCCTTTATCCCCAATAAAAACGCCAAAGTTCCCAAAGATGTAAATGTAAAAAGGCGAAGATCCATGTATCGCCTGCTAAGCCAAACCCACAAAGTATATAGTATAGTACAGGACATAAAGGGGTCGTATCTCGTAAATGGTATGTGTAATCGGTGGACATGGCCCAAGTCTTCCGATTCTTATAAGATTTCAGAGAAATGTTTTACCGATTCATGTCGTTATAATGTCTCACCAAGCGTTCTTGCGTTGGTGGTCAAGTGGTAGTTCCGAATGGCGGTGGTATACTTTCACCAACTCATCCAGATCAAAGTGGCGTATCGCGGAATCCGTCTAGACTCGATTCAGCCTGTCCTATTTGTGCAACCCCAAAAAGAGATTGTTCTTTATTTGATGCATCACTTCCACACATCCAACCTCAATAGCTCACTTCAAAAGTCCGCCGACATCTTGAAGTGAGATGTTCGTCTGCTGTCTCTCCAAATTATTCCTCATACTGCATTGAGAATGCTCCCGCGAAGTCTCCTGCATGGTCTGTAATTCAAAGCCCCTAGGTATAAATCCAGACCGATCTCTCCTCGGACTCAGGAAACCCCCTAGATCATGAAGTAAAGCCGCGGATCCCTTTCTTGGTGGAGGAGGAGGTGAAAGACCAGCCTCAAAAGACCAGGTAGGTTGCATCGAACTCTCTCCGTCCGTATCGGTCGTCCTCACAGAACTGATTCGTCGTGGTCTATCTTCGTCCAGCAACCCTCCGACGTCGAAAAAAGAGACCCTCCGAGGACTGGTGAGATCCACAAGTCCCATTCCATCCTGCTTCATGAGATCTATCTCATCACTAGCTTCACTTCTCCCCGTGGGAAAATTCCAGTCATGCATATCGCTCGATTTTGACGATTTGTAGCCAGCGGTAGCCATGGGAGCTGGTCGGGGCGTGGGATTTGCTTCTCTTAATTCCGGATCCACAGCCATTCCCAGATCTCTCACCAAATCCTCATCACTCCCCCAATGTCGCATCGCGTTTCCTCTTCGACTCGTCGTTCGTTCAATACTATCGCTCATCGATCCAAACTTCCATCTATGCTTCTTTACTCCTTTATCTCGAATAAACGATCCCAAAATCAAGGCATTGGCCACGGCCGTCGCAAATAAAATTTCCACCGATGCTAGAAGTGAACGATACTGTTGACTTCCCTGTCGGTCGATGATCATTGGTAAACGATAAAGTGTTGTGCCTGCTGGCAGTAGCGATCCCGCAAATAGACACACCAACTGAACTTTCCTGGTGACTCTCATTTTAGAAGTGACGATGATAGGCACTGGAAATAGAACCAGTAACAAATCTGTCACCACATTCGCACTACCCATCATCAACAACTGGGAGTAACCTTGTCGGCAGTGAGGACCTGGATCGGGAACGACCTGCCAGTAATGACTAAACGGTTGACACTCCGCTAGATCCGTGACCACCACCGCCACAAAGGTCACTAGTAGAAACCAACGTATGAAAACCAACATTCGTTCGTAGGATTCCCGCCAGATGCTCGACACCAGACGCTTGAAAAATTCGCTAATGGTCATCTTGAGCATCCATAATCTGTCAAGGTGTTAGTTGCCAGGAGATCCTTGAAAAGAGACTTGAAACATGAACTTACGTCGCGGCGTATAACAATCTGGAAACCAGGACCAACCTGCTCCCAATTACCCTCCGGTGAATGGCATGCTCGGAAAAGTCGGCGATTTCCGAATTGTTCGTCCCAAATATCAGAATGACATGAACGACGCCCATGCGACAAAACAATGGGATCAAACAAGCGAACGCCAACCAATCCTCCTTGAACAATCGCTCGGTGCGAATATATCGTCCGCATACACGAAATAATATAATGACGGCGGCGAAGAGCGTGCACCACCAACAGACCAACAAAGTGGCTTTATCGTCATGAAAAGATCGTAGCGGGGGAGGGGGCGAGTAGATGCCCATTTCGATTGTCGCAGCCACGCCCGTCTACCTCCGCAGAGGGGACGAGCGAGGAGTGGATGGAGTGCGCAAGTCGTGAACTCGTGTGGTGAAGTCTGGGTCAATTGATGCTTGCTGCATACCGGTCGGGACTCCGGGACTGGCAGATTTGGTTTTGTCTAGTACACTGTCGCCTCGGTGGCATGACCAGAACGTCAAGTCGTGGATATGGAAAAAGTCGATTTTTTTGGTTGGAGTCGCACGGGCGACGATCCTCCCAAGACCACGGTTCTGTGTTCGACACCGCGGGGTGTACTCGAGCACTCGTCCCTGTAGGCGACCGACGAACAATGGGATTGTACGGGAATGCGATACGGCGATGACGTGACTCGAGAGTATAATTTGGGCGGGGAGAGGAATTCGAGTGGGTGGAGGATGGAATTGTGTCTTTGCTGGCCACTGCGAGGAAGTGCAGCTTCACCAAAGTGTGGATGAGGTGAGGTGAGAGTTGAGAGGCGAGGGGAGGTTGAGTTGGGTGTGGAAGGTTTGTGTAGGAAGCAGCAGGTGCAGAGTGCAGATTGCAGGTTGCAGGCACTTGGGTGCTTCTGGGTGCTCCAGTTCCAGCTCCAGCTCCAGTTACCAGGATCTGTAGGTATTTGCTGGGAACAGGCTACGAGTACTCGATAACAGCCTCCAGACAGGCTTACAGGGCAGGTCTGGTGTGGGTGCAGGCCAGTGGCGGGTGAGAGCGAGTTTGCTGGGGCTGCTCCTTGTCAATCTACGGCCAAACGAGTCTATTTTTCGCACACCTCCCCTCCCCTCCCCTTCCCCCTCCGCCCAATCCCCCGGATATAAGCTGCTGTAGATGGCTAGACTGGGCGAGTAAAGCGCAGAAGATAGCCGCCGACCGGATCGACCAGAGCCTACCTAGAAGCAGTGCAGTGCACTTCTCCTCTCCACCCACTCCCCGGGAGCAGTAGAGTTTGATAGTGGGCGATGAGCATTGATAGGGCACGATTAACTTTCTACCAAGCCAGGTTTGGAGACGTCGACGTCCGTTGTGTTTGACGGCACTGCCGTCTGTATACGAACACCACAAAAAAATAGATACTTGGGGGAAGTCGAGCAATTAAAAAGAATGGGGCTGCGATGGACGGGTTTTGCATATAAATCGCTGTCTTCAGCATCAGACGTCGCCGAACTTGAACCTGCCTGCCCTGATCGACGATGAGCACATGAGGGGCAAATTTCCGAGGGGTTTCTACTTCGTAGGCCTGGTCGGTTCTTTCGTCACCGAGAGAAATCACAACCAGAACCAGAAGGAAGGAAATGATGCAGAATGATGCCCAGACTGAAACTTCGTACATCTGCCAACCATGTACTTCTGATCGTATCATATACCTATAATCGAATCATATACTTATAAGTAGTAGGCACAAGAACAACAATAGAAATAGAAATTAATACTACATGATCAAGACCAACCTGTCGGGTACCTACGCCAAGTACTAGTACCTATCCACATGAAGAAGAGATACCCAGATCAGAAATTCCGCTACGTATCTCTCCCATGAGCAAGTTGATCGTTGCAGATGGCACACTAGGTACGAGCAGCTATCATCATGGTCGGAAGGGTTTCCGAATACAGCTGCAGCCGTCAATTGTAGTGGCACAGGTTCCTGTTCCTGTTCCGGGTGTGGTACGTGGTGAAGACCGAACTTTGGGTCCTCGTATTGCAAGCTTGATGCTGTAATAAGGCTGCTCTCGGCTGCTCTACCACCCTCGAGCCACCTTACCAATACCGACAAGCCAGCCATATCAGAGGACCTATCGTGGTACCGCTATTGCCATCAAAGGCACGGTACTACGAGCAGAAAAAGAATTCTAGAAAAATCTCTTCTATATCTCTCTCTCTCTCCTCTGCCTCTGGATCGGCTGATTTCTGGACGGTGCACGGCATCTTAACACTATGGTAGGTGACGCTGGGGGGCGAGCCACGGGGGTTTGGGGGCTGGCCCCCAAAGGGAAAGAGAAAGGTAGTGAGTGAGTGACGCCTGCGGCTGGCAAGGAGTGTTGAGGGGGTGGAGGTTACGGTCTGAATTGAAGGTGATAGAAGTCATTCGAGTGCAATCGAGACAGCAACCCATCATGGCGCATCGGTAGGTAGGACGAAACGTGTTGTTTGCTTACACTGCCACTGCCACTGCCACTGCCACTACTGTCACTATTCGAGTACCACAACCATTATTGCCACTACAGTACTACCTACGTACTGCCGGACAAGTACACAACGTCTTGGTGCCAAATTTGGCACCAAGATACGAGTGGCTCAAGCGGCATCGGATGGCATCAGCCCCGAACTGGCAGACCATCAATAAACATCCCAAGCCTAGGCGATGCGATCTCCCCAAGTCCCAACCGAAGAAAAACACCATGCCTGTCTGCACCTTCCGTGACACAACCGTGCTGTGCTATTTTGGCATTTGGCACTTAACGCAACGGGAATCCCAAGGTGGTAATGATCAATACCGGTAATAATGCCTTCGTTAGCCCAGCCCAGCGAGCCCAGCTAGTAAATTTATATCACCGGTAATAATCATGGCTGGCGTTGGAAAGCGAGACCGAGACGGAGACGGAGTCGGAGACGGTTCAGTATCTTTTGCCAATCAACCATCTATCATCGCTGGACGAATCATCATCCGACCGAGAACTTGGTACGAGTCCTATACGTACGGAGGGAGAACACGGGAGACGGAACGGGTTACCTACTCGACTTTCCAGGTGTGAGATCTCACCCCGTGCATGGCACACGATAAATTGCCTTGTCAAGCTGCCTGTCTGCCTGTCTATCGGGAAGATGCCAAAAATGCCCCAGAAATACCACGCCAATCATTTTCCCGGAGAACAGCAGAAAGTGGGGGACTCCTACTTCTTGAGGAGGGCTCGTCCAATGATCCCAATCTGATTTTTCTCACCTAAGAAAATCCGATTATCCATCCCTCGTGGAGAAGGCACAGCATAGCCATTATTACAGCACATCACAGCACTCTACGAAGTACTCGAGTACAGTACGTACAGATGCAGTAGTGAGAGGCTGGAGCCGCTCCGCTAAAGGCGGCTGGCTGGGGAAACGAACTCCGTCTGAGCTCTGGGCTCTGGAGTGGTGACATCGCTGATAGGCTCGCCATCTATCATTTATGGGGTTCTAAGTAGAAGGCTGGCACTGACGGGATGAACACCAGAGAAATGCGCGATGGCACAGACTGGACTGATCTCTGCCGCCTGCACATCGCGCTCAGACGACCCGTACCCGACCGTTGTGGGCTCCAAGGCGTGGCAGGCGTGACTGACAGCCCGTGACAGGAGGTTATTCTTGCCGCTGTTCTGGGACTGGAGCCGCTAGGGACACAGCACCCGCCAGTTGCGACGACATCCTTCAAAGTAAGGAATTCCGTACCTATAGGTGAACCTACCGTACTTTTCAACATCACGACTTAATTCCACTCCCATCAAGCAGGTAACACGACCAAAGGGGCAATATCACATGCGACAGACCACCCATCCTGTCTCCCGTCCGTGCCGCGGGTGTTGCAGTACAGTACCTTGGGTGGTATTGTCCCACACACACCCATTCCCCAAAACCACATCACCGGGAGCTTTCTGTGCGAAAGGGCCTGCGGCGTGAACTATCATTCGACGACACCACGCTAGCATTGTCACTCCATCACTAGCCTAGTGCCGTAAATGGTTAGTAGCTGCATGTTTGCTTATCTCCATATCTCTGTCCTCCACTGGACTTGGCCCTACTGAGCGGGGAGACTGGGAGATGTGGGTGGGGTGGTGGTGAGGTGGTGGGATTGTGTGGTACGAGGGGCGTGGGCGTGGGGGTAGAGTACGTATTATGGAGAAGTACTCGTAGAAGTACGGCATGGGATAGTGTATTCAAGGTCGATCCCGAGGGGAAAGGGAAGGCGGACCTACCTTAGCTAACATAGTTAGTTTCGAAATAGTAACTTCAATATCTCGCGCGTGGGATTCCTTACTCCTTGAGAGTATTTTTTGATTACGAGATCGTTCTATCCATATACACGTCACGACCTCGTCCTCACATCCATCACGTAAATGAAACAAGTGAGACCACAAAGTTTCCCCTTCCCTTTCTAGCCATCTTTGTAGGTACCAAAGTCCATCTATCCATCTCTTCGGGTTACTATAATCATACTAAATCCACTCTATAATAACAGTCAACAAACCTAACCTATCCCTACCTACCACCAAACCCCCCACCCTAGCCCTAGTTACTCTTAAGGGTTCTTTTAACTTCTTTTTTCGATATTTCCCTAGATCTTATCTATATTCGTTGTTTATAGCTTCTGCGAATCCTAGTTGTTTTATTCCCTCGCTTTTAAGATTATACGATAAGCTAGCTACTCCGTAATTATAGGGTCCTTTGAATATTTATATAGGGAGTATTAAGGATTTCGTTAAGCGGTTACTACCGATTTAGTAGTAATTACTTTTTATACTAAAACCGCTCTTTAACTTACCTATATATATATAAACCCTTCTATTAATTCTAGGATGTAACGAATACTCAAACTGGCTAACTAAACTTGGCTGGGTGTTCGCTGGTTGGTATGCTATGATAAGAAGAAGACTATCGGGTTGTTCACTTGGAAGTGAACTCGTTACTTGTATCAAAGATGTCAAACTAATATGATAAGATTGATAACTAAGTTGAGCACGAAGCTCCTATCTAATGGCAGACGTGCCAGTCTTATATAGAACCTTCTTGCTCGTTGATCATTATGATCACCCTGATCCCACTGATCCAGCTCAGCGTTGCTCAGTTGATCACCAATGATCAATGACGGTCACATGACTTCTATCAGATGAAATCCCTGGATCGCTTAGCTAGCCTAAGCATCCCTATTTGCTATAAGAGTGTGTTGCTGGTGCTTAACCTGTCAGGACGCCGCCTGGTCTTTGCTTATCACATGCCAACACGTGATTCGTGACATAGGACCGCGATATTCTAATAAGTCTTTCGCTAAGACTTGGACGTTAGTTTACTATATAGGGTTCGAAAAGGAGTTATACTCTCGAAAGTATACTTATATAGAAGAAGGAATAGGCTAGCTTTATATTAAACCTATACTTTAATTAGGTAACGAAGTAAATCTTAGTTCTTAGAGAGAGGAGATAAGGAAAGGAGAGTATATAGCTCTATATACTATTTTAAGTTTATAAAGTTCGTAAGAAGAAATGGTTTCGTAGGTATTATAATAGCGTAAGGAAGGTATTTTTTCTAATTGTTTCTCGTTTCTCTTTAGAAAGAAGAGAACGGTATTTTCCTTAGAGGTAAAAGTTATAGAGAGTTAGGATATTTGTATATTTCGTTATTTTTTCGGGGGCTTTCTAGTTTTCGTTTTTTATTAATATATTTTCTGTCCTCTTCTAAGATGTTTTCTTATTACGAATATATTTCGGTTATCTAAAGCGAGACTAGAGTAAGAATAAAGTAATATTCGTTATTATTTACTTCTACTTCTAGGTAATTAAATTAACTTTTATTAGGTATATATAAAGTACTTTTGAATAAAGGTTTAGTTCTTTTTCACTCTCTTTGTCCTTAGAATATCTAGTTCTCTACCTTTGTTATAGTCTATACTTTTGGAAATCTATTTACCTGGGTAAGGTGTCGACTTCTAGTCAGGAATTAGAAAATGTTATTAGATAGGATTCGGGAAGAAGGCTTATGTTCTCTAAGCTAGAAACGAGTTAGTAGCTCTACTATATAGAGAAAACTAGTGAGCACGATAATAATTTATGGAATATACTAGTATTAGATAGTAGAACCGAGAGGGCTCGTGCCTATACGAAGAGCATTGGAAAGTACTTATATTATAATACCTCATGCGAGAAACTAATTTGAAGTCGAATTAACAAAGATAGGGAGTATCGAAAGAAGTTTATATGTATTTTCAGGGGGTGTGTATGTATGTACGTGCGAATGGTAAGTTAGGTGGTAGTATCAATGATTAATTTTACTCAAGTCATCGCACCAAAGTCGAATATCTTGAAATCAAAATGTAGTATTTGAAAATATCAAGTGAACAAACACAAAATTCTACCAAAATTCTGAACTTCAATACATATAATTCAACTATCTCTCAACAACCTACCCACAAACCAACTTCATAGTCCCGCCTACAACCCACCCACATTAGTACTTCGCTTTCCACGATATCACATCACTCTTCTCTTTGGAATTTGACTTACAAGCAGCCGTAGCAGTAATCCCACATCTCCCCACCTGCCCGTTTGCCTTGATACATCGATCATTCTTGATATTGCTGTTATCCGTCCCCTCGACACAGCATGCGCCTTCCGGAACGGGTCTTCCCCCATTGGCGGTTGAGAGAAGGAGGGGATTGTTGTTGTTAGGTGGTTGAGGGAGTGCGATGACGGCAGCTGCGGCGGCGAGGAGGAGAGGGAGGAGGGTGGTGAGGTGCATTGTTATGGTTTTTGGGTGAAAATTTTTGGGGAGATGAGGAAGTGATGAAATGTGAAGGGTTGCGGATGGATGGTTAGAGGTAGGAGGAGGATGATGATGATGATGATGATGATATAAACGTGGAGAAAGAGGGGATTTGTAGATGTGGGGAAATATGTATGGAGTATGGATGCCGAAACTATGACTACACTTGATCCGTTCTAAGATCAATGCGATCTTTTCACTTCGGGCTATCCGGGATATCAAACAAAGATTTCTCCATTTTTGAGTTATAGGACGAGATAGACATAAGAATATCCGCTGAGAGAATATCCTCGTTTGATTCATCTCAAGCGAAATAATGATACATCTTTCTCAGAGGTCTTTACTATATTCTCTACTAAATCTTCCCTTGGAAAGTCATAATTATTATGCCTGGGAGGAAGTATGTTATATCTATAAGATTTTAAGTCCGACATTTATAAGTGTGATTTTAGTATATTTTATAAATCCTTATGATAGTTAATGAACATAGTAAGGATATTCTTAGGATATTCGTGCCCCAAATGGTTTTTATACTAAAAACAATCTTCTTTTTCTATTCTTAGACTCTTGGGGTCATCTAACTCCGAGGGAGTCCTCGGATATAAGTAATACTACTCTGTAATAATACTTCGAAGTAATCCAAAGTACAAACCTGAAAGTTTAGTAGGAAACTAGGATTTAGAAACAGGAATATATAGTTTTACGTCTGTTACCAGGTTTATATAAGTAGCTAGTTTATATCCCTAAAACTAAAATATATAACCTTGCCGTCGCCTATGCTAAGGAACTCGTTGTAAGAATATCCTCTTTATATCCTAAGCATTTCCGCCCCGACCATATCCTTATATCGAGTTCAGAAGCTCTGAAGACCAAGGGAACCTTAAGACTGAGTACCAAGAAGCTTGTCACCAGATTCCTTTGAGGCTGTAACAGAAATCTCGTCGGGCTAAATAAGTCTTACAGTACAATCAACGAAACAGAGCCATCAACGTTACGTAAGTTGTAACGGAACAGCATCCACTGACCAGCGAAAATCACAGCCTCTAAGAACCCCACAAGGATGCGAGTGATCTAGGGGAATGATTGGCATATTTACATCGCGTTCGTCCAAGTTGTTTCAGAGGCTGAAAATGTCATCTGAAGCGATCGCCAAGACACGTTGAAACATGTGATGGTCTCAAGGTTGCACATCCTGCACGGAGGGTTTCCTATACTTGCTTGAAAATGGTCCATCATACGGAGATGAACGAATTGAGACTGCACAGAATTGCAGAACGCGGATTGGTGAGTGCGGTTGAAATAAGCTCCCATCGATAACGGAGATACTTCTTTTCTACTAAACGGAGTAGATGCCGTCATAGTTATCGAGTCCTGGAAGGTATTGGAAAGTAATAAAAACGATCACAGAGAGACAATTGAAGTGAGAAGATTGAGGGAACGTTGTAGCGGCTAATTGGATATAATTGGATAGATTCTATAGAATGCGAACGACAACCCCTATTACAGGATAATAGGAAAAAAAGTAAATGTCAGAAAAGTTTAAGTACTGCTACAAGATCCAATTCAATTGGATTTGATCAAAAAAGGGGTCATAATCTATGCAACCCATGTCCTCGTGGCTCTCATGGCGCGCTTGTTGATTTCCTTTGGCTTAGGCTGGAAGTTTGGGCCCTGTGGTTTGCCCTTAGCAGCAGGTTCGTTGCCTTTGGGCTTGTTGTCAGCAGGTTTACCGTTGTTGCCGTCGTTTCCTCCATCGCCTCCCTTCTTGGCAGCACCTCCATCGCCTCCCTTCTTAGCGGCACCTCCATCGCCTCCCTTCTTAGCGGCACCTCCATCGCCTCCCTTCTTAGCGGCACCTCCATTGCCTCCATCGCCCCCCTTCTTTTTGTCTTTCTCGCCGCCTGCCTTCTTGGCGGCCCCTCCGTTGTTTCCGTCGTCCTTAGGAGGAGGAGCAGCTGGGTCGGCGTTAGGGGTAGCAGTGGCTTGAGGAGCAGAGTCGACACCGAGGAGTGCGTTGGCGACCTTGAGACCCTGGTCATTGTTTTGGGCCTCAGCGTTGGCCTTGGTGGCCTTTTCGAAGTCCTTCTTGTTCTGTGCAACTTGCTTGTCGACACTGTCGGCAGCTTGTACTGTAGGGATCTTGTTGACATCGTTCTCGGCTGGCTTGATGTCACTTTGGATCAAAGAGAAACATCCACCGAATGGTCCTGTCTTCTCAGCGTTGAAACATCTAACGGTGCAAATGTTTCCAGTGGAAGCTATTTTTAAAATGGTCAGTCAAGAGTTAATATGAAGAGGTGTGATAGTACATACCTCCATTACAGGCCATGTCATTTGGCATCTGAACAGAAAGGGTGATGTCTCCGTTGGCTTCCTCTTTTTCCTTGACCTCAAGCTTGGTTTGACCAGTGGCCTTGGTGTTACTGGTCTGGTCCATATCGCAAGTAAATGGACCCTTTCCTCTGTCATCGATGGGTCGCATGGTGACTGTGACGGTGGAACCCTTGCTGGCCTCGGTGAGCTGCTTGGTGGCAATGGCAGTCTCGGTTGTCTCTCCAATATCGATGTTTCCACCCAACAAACTTCTTCCACACTCGTTTACAACGTTTTGGGAGTTCTCCTTTGCTGAGATGATAGCGGCATCACCACTCTTGAAGTCATATCCGAGTGCCAGACTGGGGGTTGATCCCTCCTTTCCGATGGCTTGGACGAGGACACCTTGAGCGTTGACCACGCTGAAAACAGCGGGCGCAATAGCGAAAATTGTTCTGAAGGACGGCATTGTGGTGGTCTAGGGGAAAAGTAAAAGGGCGTTGTAAAGTGCGCAGCACAAGAGAATGATTGTATAGAATTAGAAAAGAAAGTATTAGACCAGCTAGAAATGCAATATAAAACAGATGGTTGAGGAGTCGGAATGAAAGAACATGTACAACGGCGAAAGAGCAACTTATACTAGAAAGGATCGCAGAGGAATTGCACACGCACTGCACCCGAAAAGGGGCCAACGGGGGTAAACATCGCGCATCTTGGGAGCTCTCAAACGACAACGTCCCTTGAAAAAATCCACTTGAACATCCGGAACGTCGCGAGCATGGGTTGAAGTGGGGATACGGAGGCGTAAACCCACTTAAAATCCCTTTGGCCGCCAGATCAGAGAGGTGGAAACGTCTGAAGGGGAGAATGCAGGCGTATCGCCTCAAACCTGAAATTCCTTTGTGAAAGTAATGTACGAGTACAAGGGCCGGTTCTGTATAGCTTCAACAGCTCTACTCAGAGCAGAGTATCTATCAATCTAGATAGACGAGGGAAAAAGGAGGTGGATGCGGCTCATCAATTCGGCGGTAGTCATGAAGGGTGGCGCCTTTAGTGCTGTGCCTGTGCTTTAAGGTACGAATTAACGATCGGGCCCCGTGCAGGAGCCGAGCGTTGCATAATTAGCAGCAAGGGCACACCAGGCAGGCCTTCCAGGTTGGTTTTGATCTCACGTGACCTGCGGCCTGTAGCAACTCCAAGATTCATTTCCGAGATTCCTCCTTCCAGATCTATCTCCATTTCTCTTCCCCATCCACCCAAGTGTCGTTTCCCTTGTGTCTGGAGTGCTGGCTGACCAGTCTGGAATAGACTCTCCTGTTTGAAGTTTCGATCGAGTTCGCGCCGCTGCATTATTGATCATCCCCGCTACCTGACTACGTCGACTTCCCCATCACTATTTAGGAATGTCATGGGGAAAATCTACACGTCGCTAGAACCAAGCAAGATTGAATTTGTGTATGCTTTTTGTTCATCCCAGCTTCGCTTTGCAGGTCTGGCAACAATAAGCGCAGTGGATTCGGAAATACTGTGACAAAATCATGGGACTCTCATTAACCGTATCGTGCCTACTCTTGATTTTGTCGACATATGTGTGTGTGTACCAATCTCCCACCGGTAAGAACGTTCCCAAAAACGAACACCAAACAATCCTTGTAACTCTGCAGAGCCTCTTGATTCAAACTCAGAAGTGAAGGTATTTCTAGTTACAATGGGCGCCACATTCAGCTGATCGGGTGAACTTGCCATCGTAGAAATGCAGGCTCTCATACCTGAGTACCGACTCCCGAGTCTGTGTTGCACAAGATTTTCCTTGTAACTTACAGTATCGAGGGCACAGGCCTCTTGCTCAGTCTTGGTGGTGGTGGTGGTGGCGGTGGTGGCGGTGGTGGTCTACTTCAAACGGTGACCCCTTGTTAGGTGGATTGGTTTCACATTCATCCCATACACAGTTGACATTATTGAAGGGTCGTGCTCGGTACACCTACCACCTGCATACAGTACGGAGTTGGGACGAATCTCCTCAGCCTGCCTCGTGGCTGGATATTTCGTTCAGCATATGGACTTTCTCAACGACCCCGCACTTGGATTCGCCATCAGCTAGTATGTGATCTATTGGGCATATCTCGGACTGCTATGTAAGACCACGACAGCCTTATTCTCGGGATTTTTGGAGGGACACTTTTCTTGCGCTATGTATGGTATGTATTGCTCTTCTACTTGCCATTCAGTTTCTCGTTGAAATTGTGGGTGTTAATGTACAGGGAAAACTTCGTCTTTGCCATTTCGAAAATATTTCCCGTGCCATATTGGTTTCGTTTTAATGAGTTGAATCCTAACTCTTAGTTGTATGACTGACGGACGCGGTTTGTACCTCGTTGTCAAAATGACCTTGTTAGGCTCGTCTACTTGTTGCAGACCTCTACTGGGGTTCTTGGGGACCGGTCTCATTCTTGATGAATTTTTTTTCGCAGGAATTGAAAGCCTTTTCTTAGAGTCGAACAAGCTCAAAGTCAGGATGAAGAACATCCCGTGAGTATTCTCTAGAACCACCATGCCTTTTCTTAGAGTCGAACAAGCTCAAAGTCAGGATGAAGAACATCCCGTGAGTATTCTCTAGAACCACCATGCCTTTTCATCTTTTGAAACTGTGTTGGTTGTAAGGATGTCATCCACATCCCCCGCGATTTGGTTTCGACGATCAAAAATCATATATACGCATAAATCATATACGAGTATGGGGAGAGCGAGGGCTTATACTGTGGGGCTGTGAGGTGGTTCTTTTCCCTTTTCGATGTCGCTCTCTGGTCATGATGACGCAAGCTCGACACGTAGAGGGAGGAGCGAACCAAGGGTTTACCTATGATGAGACCCTCTGTAGATAAATTCAGTTACTCTTTCGTATTTTTGGATAGTCGTTTCAATAGAAACTTGAAATTGTTTCAGTAAGTGCATTCATTCTAGGTCTCTATATGTCTCTGCTATCGTGACCGCACTATCCTTCGTGCTACTGTTTTGAACGCCTCATAGGCCTTGGGTTCGGACTTCTCATATGCGTAGCCTATAAAAAACAGTCGTGGGATGTTGTTCAACTTACCTATAGCTTTTAAGGTCACTATTTGCCAATTTTGCAAGTATATTAAGAATAAGTCAATGGGAGAAAAGAAACTACGGAGCATAGAAAGTTTAATACTAATGAGGCGTAATGTTCCCTTTAACTTTTTAGAATGCGCTCAAAAAGACTATTAAAAAATCTCCTTGTAACTGAAAAAGATAAGTGAAGTATTTGTTTATTAATTTTATTTCAACACTCTTTTGTAATATCTTGAATATTAATTTATGTAAATGACGTAATTTAATGATACTATTCAAGGGCAAGAGAAGGAAACAACCAATATTAATATTTTGAATATGTATCACTAGAGTGTTGAGTCTGAAAATAGTTGAACAGTCATTGTTTTACCAAGAAGTACGGCCTAGCAGGTGTAGGTTGAGACAGAATTTCTCGATTCCAAATCCCAGTTATCATGGTATAATAGGTATTCTACACAGATTGGAAGCTCATTGAGCACCTGCAATCTCCACACAGAAGAATATAAACTGGACATGTCACAGGTAGAATGATGAGCAGTTCACAAAAGAATACAGTACCCGACCAGCAAAGTGACAAAAGAAATAAACTTCCGTTGGGACACAAGATGTGTTTGTCTTTCGAGAAAACGGCCGTGAAAATTGTTTTGTCTGGACTCGGGTTAAAAAATACTGACATTCCCAGAAAACTTCCGATAATATATCACCTCGGTTACATTCAAAGTGATATATCATAAGATGACAACACACGCGCAATTATCATTCGCCATTCCAACCCACCTCCCTGCAAGGATTTTCCTGAGCCCAATCCATGATCTTCTGTTTCATCCAGCCGGATTTCCACATTACCTTTCTTCCCTTTTTTGGGGGTTGGTATTTGCCCAAACGGAAGTTCAAACCTAGTCTACAGGTCGGTTCGTCGTATTCATCGATGAATGCGAATTGGAAACAATCATTTCTTGCTTGGCATGCCATTTGACAATTCTCGAATGATTTGAAGGATACCATTTCTACGGGTGTCCAATTAAGCATATTCGCTTTTCGTCTTAGCTCCTCTCCTGCCATCTTGAACCGTTGCTCTTCTTTCAAGGTTTTGATTCTTTCAGACTGTAGAATCTTTGCAGAAAATGTGGGACCATGCGAAAGGTTATCCCAATTATCTTTTTCAACCAAGAGATTTGGTTCCACAAAATGGTGATATAATTCCGAGAAAGTGGTTCCCTACTAGAACATCAGTATACATTCGCGGAAAATTCTCTTCCCTTCGCTCTCAAGTTAGAAAAATGGGACAGCTTACATTGCTCACTCCTAATCTCTCCTCCCTCTCTCTCTCGAATCGCCATAAATCACTTGCTTCCATTGGTAAGACATGATGCATACTAACAACAGCCTGGCACCACATCTCCTCAGGTCCAAAAGCCATTGTCCAGGGTTTTTGACCACTGAGTAATGGATACATACTCATAGGTTCTATTCCCCTATTCCTCAATGCCAACGCCAAAACGAAGTCCCCACAGCAGTAGCTTTCCATTTCCACATCCAATCTATTAGCCAAGCCGCTCGCGTGTCCATGCTTGGGTTCGCGATCAAGCAGCGTATGCATCGCAGCAGCTGAGAGAACATACCCACTCCCCCCGTGCGCAAAGGGGATATCATCGTATGAAACTAAAGATCCGAAATAATATGGCCTCGAGGCATCCATCCCGGAAAGCAATTGTACGAGATTTGGCAAGAAGAGATAAGTGTCTGTTTCCATAAACACATACCATTTTTTATCCGGTCTTAATCGCCAGGTTTCTTTGATTATGTGGAGGAACTTGTATTTGTCTAATACCCATCCTTTTCTGTCATCACCCAATTTTGGATTCTCTTTCAGAAGATCGAGATTTTGATTGGTGGCATGAAAATGTTGGATGTCACGGTAGATTTGGAAATCTGGATGTGTGCGACGGATGGATGATGATACCTTGGCTAGAGAGTCGTGGATTGGAAATCGGCCTATTGTGGTGGCGAGGTCGGAGAAGAAGAGAACATCTGAAGGCGTGAAATGTTGGAAGGTGGTGCTGAGATGGATGGGGAGTGAAGAGTGTTCTTGAGCACCGGTTTTGAAGATCACTGTTATTTCTTCTTGCCTCAATCTTTCTACAGTTTGCTGATCGAAGCTTGTTTCCTTCGTGATTGGGACATTTTCGACTTGCTTTGAAGTGGGAACAGGGCATGATTCTGTTAGGGTTTTGGTATTCGTGACTGTTACTGTGGTTGCTGGGATTGAAGGCCGAAAGTTGATAGGGATCTCGAGATTCTCGTAAATTGTACGGTTGAGAAATCCGGCGAGGTGTTTAGGCGAGAAATTTTGGAGTTTTTCACTAGGGCGAGTGTGCCAAATAAGAAATGCGACGAAAAGAAATGCGATGAATGTCCACGGACAGCGGCGGCTACGGTTATAAGAAAACATTTTGTGCGCAAATGAAACTGCAGTACTAGAACTTGTATATGCGCCTCTTCAATGGTTGAGAAAGTTCGCAATAATTTTTCATTGTAGATAATTTGATCCTAGCTAACCAGTCCGCTAAACTCTAGCCGAATCTTAGGTTAAGATTGGTTTCTACACCATTTCAGAATCAGCAACCAAGCCATCAAAAAAGGTACTAACTTGGGTAGAAGAAGAATTTGAAGGCGTCGACGTTTGTTGTGGTATTTTTCTATCAGATAGACGAATGTCGATAAATTTCAATTCATCATTTTTGAAAGGACCGGTGCTTCCAGAATGAAAATAACATGCCAAAATTACAATTACATTATCACATATGATTTTTAGTGATTTTTAGAAATCCGACCTACCACTAAACTAGAAGTGTTTTAATCTCGTAATGTGGAACGTGAACGAGAGGATGGGTTGAGATACTCGAGCTCAATTCATATAACAGTCCGTCTCAATCGTCACTTCTCGCTTCTGATCTAACAAATTGGCGATGCAGCCAAGTGCGCATAATAATTGCTCCGCAATACTTATGGACTTTTGGACCAGAAGGAGATGTTTTGGGAAAAGTATCTGCGAAAACAATAAGCATTTGTTCGGTTGGTAAACGTTTAGTAGTAAAGCAAGGAATCTAGGGTTCTCGTAAGTCCCTTTACGTTTTATTATTATCATTGTGATTAATATCTTTGCTAATTAAGATCAACTTTCAAAATGACTACAACTATTACAGATTACAAGTACGCACATATTTTCAATACCACACAGAGTATATAGACTGTCTTCCGGTGGACAAGAAAAGTGGCAGAAATTATTATTATTGAAGTTGAGATAAGTATTCGAATACTCGAGTATTTTCAACACTCTAGGATAAATGATTTCATCATTCGAGGGATTTTGGTTAATCGTATCAATATTAGTGTAGATAACTAAGACAATATTAAATAGATTGACTTTAGTTACGCTAATAGAAAACCGTTTTCTGCCACTTATACGGAGTATTAAGCACCCTGGTCGGCAGTGTTCGGGGTTGACCCTGACCCCAAGGATCGACAACTTGCGTGGGGCTTGTTTCAGATACTGTACTACCAACATCGCGTCGAGCGCGTTCGCGTCTCTAAGGGTAAATAATTCCGGGCCGATTTTAACTCATAGGCTACTACATTAAAACATTAGTCTTCACCTACATTTTAGTAGACTTTTATAAATAATAATAAATAAGTATAACTTAATATCTAGTTATACCTCCTCTAAGTCTTTTATACTTATATAGTTTCTTAGTATACTAGTTACATATTTTAGAAAGAAAAATAAAGTTTTTTAAATAGTTATAAAATAGTTTATAAAAGTAAAACTATTATAAAACTATTTTAATTTCTAATTATCTTTTATAAAAACTATTATTTAATAAAAAGAAAAGAACTTGTTAAATTATGAAATAAAATATTAAATAAGTATTAAATAACCTAGAATAATACTAGTATATATAATAAGTAAATATTAAATATATCTAATATACCTTCTATCTAGAATTCGCGAGCTTTTTCTAGTATATTTATATTTCTTATCTTTTAATTAAGATTTTAAAGTTTTTTATTTTAAAGTTTTCGAAAAGTAAAATACTTCAATTAGTTACTTTTACTTCCTATTTCTTTATATACTATCTAGAGTATAAGTAAGGGTCGGTTAACTTATATATAGTACTCTACTACTATTATTAATTATATATTATTAGTAGTAATAAAATAAACTTATTTTATTACCTTTACCTAGGTAAATATAAGCTTTTATTAGTATTTACTTTCTAGAAATTAACTTAAGAGTATTTAAATCCGGAAATTAGAACGGTTATACCCCTTATTAATTACTATTATAACTATTATAAAGTAATAAATATCCGAGGATTTATAATTTAGAACTATTAAGTTTAAATAACTTTAATTTTATATTCCTTAGTATTTAATCTTAGTATTCTACTAGCTTCTAGCTTGTTATACTACTCTAGCTTCTGTTTATTTATTTTAGAGGGGAAAGCGAAGTTTTTTAGATAATTATAGAATAGTTTATAAAAGTAAAACTATTATAAAATTATTTTTAGATAGTTTAAAATTATAAAACTAACTTATTTTAATTTATAATTATTTATTATAAGAACTATTTTAGATTTTAAACTAATATAAGATAATCTAAAAGATAAATGATTTAGAGTTTATAACTATTTAAATAAAGAATAGTCTTAAAACTATTTATAAGTATAATAGTTTAAATTAATAATAGTTTTAAAATTATTTTATTTATAAATAATTCTATAATTATAACTACTTGAATATAAAATAGTATTAAGACTATTTAAGCTATAAATAGCCTTAGATTTATAACTATCTATTATATTAATAGTCCAATTTATAAATAGTCTTAGAATAATTCTCGAATAATTCTTAAACGCTTTTTAAACGCTCCTAGAATAGTCTCGGGATATAGTAGAAAAGTGTTTTATAAAGTTATAATATACGAGCTATATTGTAGACTTAGTACTACTCTTATACGCTTAACCCTAACGCTATAGAAATATAAGTATAAAATTTAGTCGATTTAGCGAAATTTAACGGGCGCGTATTATAGGCGATATAACGTATAATATTAGTAGTAGTTTAGTTAGAGGTTATAGGCGTACGCGAGGTATATACTCGTAGGCGCCCGAGCGTAGATCGGGAGTACCTTATAAGCTTATATACTCTACCTACGTACCTACTTACGTAACTACATATATACCTAGGAGTAGGATTTAGAATAGGTTTAGAATAGTCCCGGGATACTCTCGAAACGCTTTTAGAATAGTTCTAAAACGCTTATAGGATTATTTTATATTTATAAAACTATTCTTAACTATTTTATTAATATAACTATCTAATATTTTAAAACTATCTTTATATATAAACCGCTCTTCTTTTATTACCTAGCGGTTTTTTTCCTAGAACGATATTCTATATAAAACCTTTATTAGAGAGTTTCTAAATAGTTTAAAAAACTCTACTTTATTTTCTAAGGTAGCTCTTAGATTTTATTCTAGTTTAAATTATTTTACGTTTTCTTTAATCTTATAATATTATTCTTTATAAACTTAGAATAGTTAGTATAAAATAATCTTTTTACTAGTTATACTATAATCTCTAGTATAAAGAGATTAGCTAATATAAAAGAAAGAATAATTAGAGAAAAGCTATAATCTTTAGTTTACTTTTATACTTTCGAACTTCTGTAAGTATTATTATTATTTTATACTAAAATAAATTCCTATTTTCGCTATTTAGAGTTAGCTAGAAACGTAAGAAAAAGAAGCTTAATATAATACTTAATTAATATCTTATTATAATTATTCCCTATATTATAAGAGAGTATAAACTTATAGTTTTTTCTAATAATATAAAAACCGTTTAAAAGTAATATATAATCTAGCTCTTATACTTTTATCTTTATATTCTTATAAGTAATTAGTTTATAATAAATATTGTATAACTTATACTTTTATTACTTTTTCTCGAGTATTTAATTCTCTTAGTAATTTATAAGCTTATACTAAATTAAAACTTATTAGTAAAAACTTTATTATTCTAGAATTCCGATAAAAAAAGCTTCTTTAGTATAATTATATATTATTATCTTTATTTATTTATTATATTATTTAGTAATAGCTTCTTTTGATAATAAACTACGTTTATAAGATCTTCGTTCTTCATAGTATATTACTAGATAGTTTTAGTAGTAACTATTCGAAGTTTAGATAGCTTCTAGTATATAGTTTTTAAAAGCTTTTTACTAGTAGTATTATAAGTGTTAGTTTAACTTTATTATTAAATATAAGGTATAATATAGGAAGAGGCTAAACCTTAGTATTAGACTATTCCTATTATTAATATATACTAAGTTAAAGGTATAGAAGTCGTACTACTATAATACAGGCAGGACTAGCCTAGTTAGATAGTCCGTGCTACCGAGTATATGTACTCGGATATTATAGTAATACTAGGCCTACTTTAAATGAAGTAAAAGACTCGGTGTAAATAACTAATCATCTAAAGTCCTTAACTAATTAAATCCGTTAATTTCTCCCCTAATATCGATTAAGTTTATTAATACCTTATAATTTATAAATCTATCTAAATCTACTAATTCTCTATATTATCGTTGTTTTATCCTTTACTAATATCCTTACGTTTAACCTACTCTTCGACTATAATCTTAATCTTATTTATATTAATAAGTATAACTAATACCTAGTAGTGCTTTAATTTTATTATTATATCGGTAGGATTTATAGTTCCCTTAATCTAAAGGATCTTATAGATTTTATATCGTTTATATACCTAGCGTAAAGCTATTATATTAATTATAAGACGCTTCTCCATTATTATACTAAGTTTTATTAAGTATTTATATATCGACTTAGAATCTATATAAATCGTCAATTTTAAGTATCTTACCTAGAATAGCCTCTAGTGTTAACTTAATAACCTCTACTATATTAAATCCGCCGCTTAAAGTATATAACTCGGATACTAATATACTTTATATAATTCGTTTATATTTTATAGAACTCTAGTATAAAATAACCGCGTTATCGTTCTTATCTACTAGGTATGAAACATAGCCTATTTAGAAGGAAAGATTAGTTAGATTTATAAAAGAAGTATCTATAAATAATATAAGCTTTAGTAAGTTAATATCTAAAGGTATATATTTAAGTTTATACTTTAAATTATCGATTAACTATTAAAGGCGCTTATTTAATATATTAACATCGCTCTTCTTAGAGTTTAGAGTTTATATTATAATACTCAAATCGAATACTACCTTAGGTTAGTATACTATAGCTATATAAGCTCCTAGTACTTATTAAGTAATATATTAATCCTTTACGGAATAATCCTCCTTATAAATAATACTATAAGCGCTAATAATATTAGTAACTCTATAGGTTA